AACAATTGACTCCGAGGAGCAGGATGGTTTTCGTTCTGCTCGAGGATGTATTGATCATATCTTCACCCTCCTCCAAATGTTAGAACACTGTCATACTTATCACAGACCAACAATCGTGGTGTTTCTTGACATCAGAGCTGCCTTCGATTCATTGAGCAGCACTGCACTCTGAGGACGTCTGTTGAAGAGGGGTGTACCTGAGAAGTTTATTAACATCTTAAAAGCCTTTTATACAAACACCTCAGGCAGAGTTAGGATATACAACCATCTCTCTCCATTGTTCCATTCAAGCAGTGTGGTTAAGCACGGTTGTCCAATCTCAAAATTCCTCTTCAACTTTGCCATCGATGACATTCTGGAAACAGCGCTGATGGATGTAAGTAATGGGAGCGTGGATCTGTTGCCTGGAAAAATACTTCTCGACCTTGAGTATGCGGATGATATTGTTTTACTGTGCGATGATGCCCAAGGCATTCAATCCGCACTTAATCAGTTGGCAATCAGTGTTCGTAGGTATGGTATGTGCTTTGCACCTTTGAAGTGCAAAGTACTTCTACAAGACTGGCAGGATCCTAATTCTGTACTCACCCTGGATGGTGAGCAGATAGAAGTAGTCGAGAAGTTCGTGTATCTGCATAAGTGCTGGTGGGGGTGTGAGTGATGAGATCAATGCACGTATAGTGAAAGCCAGAGTGGCTTATGCCAATCTGAGCCATCTTTGGCGCCTTCGTGATGTTAGTCTGGCTGTAAAAGGTCGAATCTAAAACGCATCGGTGATAGCAGTTTTGCTCTATGCTTGTGAAACCTGGCCTCTCCGAGTTGAGGACGTTAGACGACTCTCTGTGTTCGATCATCGCTGTCTCCGAAGGATTGGTGACATTCAGTGGCAACACCATGTCAGTAATGCAGAGGCTCGGCATCGTGTGTTCGGGCACAGAGATGATAATTCAATTGGTGTTACCATCTTGAGACACCGACTTCGGTGGCTTGGACATGTTCTCCGAATGTCGTCCCAGAGAATTCCACGTCGTGCATTATTTGCCGACTCTGGGACTGTTTGGAAATGGAGAGGTGATCAGCGCACGACATAGTATCGTGGTATGAAAGAAAGCTGGACAGGACTGGCTTCTGTTGGTCCTTCACGACTCCCTGGCTGGGGTCCGAGTGATGGTGTAACACAGTGGCTAGAGGCGTTATCAGATGTGGCTCAGAATAGAAGCCAATGGCGATCCTTCTGTAACTTTATTTTACCTTGTTCATAAAAAAGACTTAACTCTCTAAGTGGAAGCATTCTCTGTGGCTGTACTTTTGCGATTTGAAATGGCTCTCCTATTGTTATTATTTCACTTTCATACACTAATTTCTGTTCATTGTTGTTCTTCTTTTTTCTTATACGCACCTTAGATTCCTTATATCTTCACATTCTCATTATTATTGTGTGGCGCAAATATATATGGTGCCCCTTTGTACCAATATTTGTGTTAAAATAAATAAATAAAACCTGAGGGTAAAGTTTCTTTTAGATACTGATTTAATAAGATATTCCATCCAGAAAGTACTAAACATTTCCTGCGTTAATGGATTTAATGCAATGGATAAACTAATCATAAGACTTTCATTGTGAAGCCGAGAAATGCCACAGAGATCTACAAAAATAAAGCCAATTTGGAACACTTGCTATTTTTTTTTGTTTACAAACCAACCGTTAAACACTGAAACCAATACAAACAAGAAAATGGAACAAATTCATTTCATGTGTTTATATTTTACTACAACAATGTTTTGAGCCAAAACCAATTATGATCGAGTTAGAATTTATTACAAATGAGAAAAGAATAAAACAGAAATAGATTTTGAAATTATTGTTTTCAGGTTAACTAAAATGCATATACAAATAACGAAATATCAAATGAGGACATCAACAATGAGCTGCCAGTAAGAAAAGTTAAGTAGCATAAAGTTTTTTTTACTATTTTTAATAAATAACTATCAATACGTGCTTTTAATAAATTTATAGTAAATAAGGTGCAATGTACGTAATTAAAAAAAACCAAAAAATAGTATTTTAACAACACAATTAACTTATTATCTAATGCGATAGTTAAAATTAAAACGATGGTTGGGAAGAGAAATACATTTTCAGATCATTACTGAGTAGAAACAGGTGAATTAAAAGATGGTTATCAAAGAACAATTAAATATTCAATTAACCATTTTTATTCAGATACATTGGTTGCTTGGATTTTCTCATGGCTATTTAAAACTCCAACTGATTCGTATCTTTCGGCATATGTGTTCTCCGTGCGGAACACCTCGATATTGCCAATAAATCAGAAGCATTTTAGGCAGAGATGAATGGTGGCCAGCAGTGGAATCTAGGACGCGTGTTTTGTCTTAGTTAGGACTCGTTAGCTGGATGTCCCTGAATTCTATAGTCGATGTTCACTCCCAGACTTCAACTCAGTACTTTTCTCTTTAGACGCCAGCGCGTCCCATGCATGACATTGCAGTGAAGTCCGTCGTGTAAATTCCGTATGATGCTGACCTCCCAGGTACTCCATAATGTCGAGGACTCGAAAAGGTTCTCCTATCCACACTATCTTTACAGTTGAGGAAGTTGATATATAGTGACGAGTCCTATTGAATTGATTGCTCACAAAGATCAGTAGTGTTGCGGTATCTCTAATGCTCCTCTTCACTTTTCTGTTTATGTTTTCGGTCTGTGCCATGGCGCTGTGTTCTTGTTTGTCTATTTTCAACTGTTGTCTTCCTTTCTCGAATCCTGCCCAGGGTTTCGGTAGAGGCATATTTCTTATGATGCTTCTCACGGCCCAGAACCTCCTGGCATGCTGAAGTTAGTGCTTCTTTGAACCCTTTGCAGTTGTTCTACAGTGATTTTTCTTCTTTAGGCAGATCTTGTAAAGCTTGGAACCTGTTGCTTAGAGCTATTTTGAATGCATTGAGTTTTTTAGTATCTCACAGGCTGTATTAGGCTTTTGTGATGCTGTTTCTCCGATTTTTCAGTGCTTCTTTAGCTAAACTTCCGTTTGTCGACTACCAGGTGATCTGAAGCTACGTCAGCTCCTCTGTTGGCTCTTACGTCTTCCATTGACCTTTTAGTGATGCAAATACGACCAATCTGGTCTTCTGTAGTGAGACTTCGTGCGACCCATGTAGCTTTGTGTATGTATTGTGGGGGATATAGTGCTATTTATAACCATTTTGGTGAATGCGTATAGATTCGCGAATCGCTCGCCATTCTAGTTCCTTCCTCCTAGTCCTTGTCGTCCCATGATATCTTCATAACCGTTGTTGTCCATTCCAACTCTGGCGTCTAAATCTTCCATCAGGATTGTCAGTTCCTTTCCTGGGCACTTCTCTATGACTGACTGCAGCCTCTCGCATAACTGATCTTTATCGTCTTCATTGTTATCATTGGTGGGTACATAGCACTGGATAAGATTTATTGTGATCCTTTCTGTTTTGATGATCATGTATTCATGAGATTTCAATCCTATAAGTTCGTTTCGTGCTTCTTCATACAACATCAGTGAGACTACTTGTGTGTGCGAAGCATTATTTTCTTCATGACCAGCGCACGACAGCACCTCTTCCGAGGCTAATCTCATCAATCCAGCTTGGGACCGATGGGTTTTACTTGTTCGGAAAACCGCCAAGTTGTATCTCGTTTCCGCAGCTACTTGACTTCTTCCAGTCTCCCACATTGTCTAGACATTCCACGTCCCTATGTTAATTGTTGCTCTGGTTGTCAAAAGGGGCTTCGGCCTCGGCTTTCATCATGAGGCGTTACAATTTGCATAAATGAAGGTTTTTTAAATCCCAGGGATGAGTTTAGACGATTTTCTCCGGCTAGTTTTTTTTTTAGCAAATTTGTTAACGGCGGCATGAGTTCGCTGAACCCATGTTCAATCCTCCTCTCTTATCCGAGCATAAGACCGGCAGTAACCCTAAAATGGCTACAGGCAGGTTAAACGCTGTACTAAATATATATTAGCGTTTTTTATCAGCTCCTGAGAATCCGTTTTTCCAACCAAATGACTGTACACGATTCACAAAAGAGACATTTCTGATTCTTACATTTTAGTTGAAGTATTTGAAGGTTCTAGAAAGCTTCTATTTATCACAATCCACAGAGTCCTATCACTATAAGCGCCTGCATTTGATATCAAGTGTACAACTGTAATGTCTCAGCAGATCATGGGTCCGATGTTAATATATACCTGGAACGGTAGCATGGTTAAATGAAATCATTCTAACAGTGAACGAAGAATGAACTTTCTAACTGTTTACACTACGTTCTTGTGCGATTGATAGTGTGCTTTCCACTTACATTAAAAAAAGCTGATCTTTTTCACGCAATCCATTAAACATTTTAGTTTCCCCCTAGATCGCAAAAGATGATGATTATTGGTATCCGATATTAATGTTACTCAGAATTCGGTTGAAATTAGCAATCGCCTAAATAACAGTTTGGGACAGATTTCGTTCAATAAACTATCAGGTAGGTTACTAAATTGGCTTTTCGTGCCTTTTCTGTACTTAAAAGAATTGAAACTGATATAAAAGACGAAGACAATTATTCCACTTCACAGGAAGCAATTTCATCACTACTGGGAAAAAGGTTTAATATCGGTCATCGTTTAATTTAATTTTAAACTGTGTAACATAAAGAGCTATAATAAATGTAGATAGGCATTTTGCGAAGAAATTTAGCAATTACAGGATGTGCGTATTAACGCAATGTGACTGCACATATACGAGTTATCATAGTATGCAAACTACTGAGTTCGGATAAAATAAAAACGAAGTGTCGAATAGATTAAACAGTCAACGTTTGACATACAGGTGATGGTTACCATAATATTCCTGAGATTGAAAGAGCTAGGTGGGAGATCTACGATTGGTACTTTCGCCTGATTTCATTGCGATCACTTTCGCTTTTCACATACCTAAAAAGATCACTCACTATAGTAACACACTTACCAGTAGTCGCAATAACGAACAAACTGACAAGATTGGGCAGTTTCGTTAGCAAAATGGCAAGCGAATAGGAGCATATTTCGAGGTTGGACAAGGTATGCGAACCTCATAAAAGCAAGAGAGTAAAACATAAGGGCTCCAAAAATGTACAGATAAAATTTCGATACCTGTTGTCATTTTACCACTGATTTTTTCTGGGTTATTCTTTAAATCCCCAATAGCCGCTAACGGCAAACCCCAATTTGCTATAGGACCCCAGAAGTGCTAAAGAGAGGGGTTTGTTATGAAATAACGAGAACAAAAGTGAGTGCGATGACCTGCAATAAAACTTACGGTACTATGATATAGAAAAATCTCCCTATGAAAATAAAATGTACCTGGTTATGTAGTCCCTGAATTCTTTCCTGCGCAAGTAGTTAAGCAGCCTCATTTACGAAGTTCAGAGAAAGCACTTAAGAAGGGTTGATGCTAATGGTGCAGTCAAACAAGATTCTGATTATAAGAAGATCTATTGTAGTGTTGAATCAACACTCGCTACTCTTTTCTAATTAGTTTTTCTTTAAACTTTTGTGCCAAATTACAAAAAAATGTCAGTACTGCACCATGAACATTGAAGAAATAAGACTTCAGTAGAAAAGATAATCCAATCTTGCATCTGTGGGTCATCTTATATTGATGATGATAGACGATAAGATATACGGATTGTGATTAATTTTAGAAGTTTCATCACATTTACTGACTTATTCAGAAATAGTACAGGCGAAGACTAGAAACGTTATTCTGAAAACATGATAACACTCCATTCAACTGATTTTGAATACGTTTAAATGATCACACTAGAAAAGAGTGAATCAAATTGTGAGCTGAACTCGAATGACTTTTCAACCGTTATGTCGTCTTGCACATATGCCCGTAGTGGTTAACAAATCCCCAGGATAAATAACTTTTTAAGTCTCTATTGTCGATCCTGACATAACTAGTTCCACTGTATACACCACTAAATGAAAGTGGTTGGTCGAGCACCTGATTCTGATCATATTTGAGTACATCATGGTTCTCACTACGTGTAGCAGCTAATCAGATTTAATATCACTTCTACATATCGTCCATTACCCAAATAATTCTACCCACTCCTTCGTCTTCGATTATCGGTTACATTTCACTTAAAGATTTGTACATGAAGATGTTCCGACAGTGACGACATCGAACGCCTAGTATCAGGGACGTCTTTATCCGAGAATCTTTGACCATTTTCGGGTTTTCCAAAATTAGAAACGTCTGGTCGAAATATGGCACAGATATTTAGGAGTTGATAACGCTATTGTCCCCTACAACTTTGCAATAGAGCATCTCAAAACCAGCCAAATCTGGAGTCAGGAATTAGTCATTTCGAAAATGCGTTTGGAAGATAGTCGATGGATTGAGAAGTATGTGAGCTTAGCTGACTAGTTGTTATGTGGGATATGTAACACAACGTACCCAATAGTGATCTGAGGAAGATGCTTGATCGAGTGATTAGAGATATAATGTGTCGGGTAAACCCGATAAAGTCAGTAACAATGATGAGGACGTCGTAAATATCTCAGTAATGTCTAAACATTATAGCTCAAGTAGTCATTTACGTCCATATATAGTACAGGCATTATATTTCCTTTTATTTCATGTTTTATGTTCGACAGCGTTTTGGGTTTTTAAAATACAACTTCAAGCCCCAACTGTTCTGTTCCGCGATCTAAATAAATACATGTTTACTACTTGTCTGGTTTATTTTGTTGATAGAACAAAGGGTATCCACCTGTGAGAAATCCGTGGAGACGATTAATAATTCCTGTTTTGCTTGGTTATTTCGTTGTCGTAAACGTAAACTTCTGTTCATACTTACCACAAACTTTGTACACATAATAATATATTTCTGCAAGTACACGTCATCTTTACGGGCATGATCTATTACTTAAGACATAAGTTAGCTTGGAGTAGGGTCGTTTATTAAATAAAATCAATAAAAGTGAATAACAATGCATTCATGCAGATGTCTGAGAGCGTTAATGATTTGGTCTATGCTTTAGTATTACACTGAGTACAGCCTTTAGAATGTTTTCCAAGGGTACATCGCATGTACGTTGCACACCAGATCCAATATCGGCATAATTTTTTTAGAATCCTGATAGTGTTAAGTATTTATGCAATACAAGTTTCTGAGTTTATAGTCTTTTTAAAGTATATTTGTTTAGCGCATTGTGTGAACTATGGCTTCATGTTATATAAGCCTAATATATATGTAGAACCGATAATTTATCACTTATAATTGTGCATTCCCTTTAGTATCTGATTTTCTTATACAAACAGTGGAGCGGCTCCTCAGGTTTGACAAATTCTATTTTTTGTTCGAAATAGATGCTTCTTTGTTTTTGATTCGAGAGATACTCTAAAGGTAGGTGAGTAAACACTTGATAGCCGGATAGAACAAAAGAAATCTTACCTCACAAAATGATGTGGCATTTTCTCTGATATTGTTTCATTTTGCTACTCTTCATTCTCTTACAGGCTGTGCTCCTCAATTAGAGGACAAGTTTTACAAGTCATGGGCAACGATTTGTGGAAAAATCCTAATGCTACGAGATTAGATAAGGAGATAGTGAAGTAGGTGATATATGTGAAGCATCTTCGAGTATTGACTGGACAATCATTGATTGACAGTCGAACATCGAACGAGTTAGTTATCCAACTTTAGGCTGTGGGAATCAAACTGAGATGCTCTTTTTTAGTAAGCTGATCGAATCTCCATTCCTGTGGAAGTCGATTACAGAGGAAAGCTGATGAAGCGACTTAAGATGATTGTTTAAACGTCGATCACAAACATCTCAGTCATGTCACAAAATTATAGCTCAAGTAGTCATTCACTTCATTTTGTATAGACATAATTTTTCCTGTTACTATATATTAAGTGTTAATAAAAGTTTTGTGCTTTCAAAGGACAACATCGTGCCACAAATATTCTGTTCCACGATCTAAATAAGTACCTATTCACAACTAGTCTCTTTCCTATTGATAGAACACGCGTTATCTATCGGCACGAAAGATTTACAGACTTATTTGCTTCGGGCATTTACTAACTATTACAGCTCACTCTACATATTGTGGGTCAGTGATGACCGGCCAGAAGTTTAAGCAAAGTGAAGTTATCATTGATAAACACTCTACTAATAACTTGCTACCTTCGGCAGGTTACTCGAATCGTGTAGATGGTTATCTGGGTTAATGCTTTCAGGAATACGCTTATTGATTTTCAGATACGGAACACTTTTTCATAAAACCTTTTTTTAATGTTTAGAGCATTATCGTATGTTAGAGAAACAGCTGAGTTTATAGTATAAGCTGTACCATTTGAGATATTTTGTACTTTGATATATCAAAGTTTTTTCTCTTAAATTAGGAACGTTTGGATTGAGCAGTTTTTGGGTTTTTATATTATTTGATACGAGTCATTCGCAACGCCTTGTACGCTACGCCTACTTGGGTAAACTTTAGTTCGTTAGTCATACGTTCAGAGTAAATACTAAAATTTCAGTCGTTACAATAATAACAAGTTCATGCCAAGAGTTCAATTAGAACGATGATATTGTTGCTGTAGTATGGTAAACGGCAAATTCAACATATCAGTTAGATAAATGAATCGAAAACTTTCGGAAAGAACATGGTGTGAAGCGCTTCCAGTGTTGGGATTTGTAGATTATTGTCGTTTTCAACCTGTAAGATATTCATTCACATGAATGATTATGTCGTTAGACTGTCAGTTGAACTCTGTATGTTGTACATATCAAAGAATGTGAACAGCCGACATATATAGCGAAATCGTCCACCAGGTAAATAAGAAACAATACCTCATGTAATGAACAATTATTTTAGTCAGTCGATCGAAGGAGTTCGCTTTTTAAGTTAAACTGATTGTACTAAAAATATTTGGAGACTGTTGAGTCTAAAAATCGATAAAGTTGAAGAATCGTTTTAGATGGACTTATATAGCGTTGATGAGTCGTTAGTGTGTCGAAAGTAGCCGTTGTTGATTTTGGTGTTTTGAACCGCTTAATTCATTGTATGTGCTGTCATAGTGTTCACTAGTCGGTCAGAAATTCTTTCAATGTATTCAAATCTAATGCTTTGTATTGGTAATTTCCTACAACTATGAATGGCATTCAGCGACATAAAGGTTTCAACGTACATAGGTTAAAAATGCTTACTGTTTAGCGAGGTATAGTGATCGATTTTGTATATCTTTGGATGAATACACCTCAAAAGAGCAAGTAAATTTATGAATTACAATTACATAGGTGTACGACTGCCATAGCTTCTTGCTTTTAAGATGGTAACAGTAGATAAGTACTCGAAATAAATAGTTATGTGAGCCCTCAACATTGATACTGACTCTATGAGGTTTACCCGACACATTATATCTCTAATCACTCGATCAAGCATCTTCCTCAGATCACTATTGGGTACGTTGTGTTACATATCCCACATAACAACTAGTCAGCTAAGCTCACATATTTCTCAATCCATCGACTATCTTCCAAACGCATTTTCGAAATGACTAATTCCTGACTCCAGATTTGGCTGGTTTTGAGATGCTCTATTGCAAAGTTGTAGGGAACAATAGCGTTATCAAACCCTGAATATCCGTTAAAACTTAATGCCCTTCAGTAGGCTAATAAATTAGGTTGATAAGGAATCGAGGAACTAAATAGCCCTCACATTCATAAAATGTAGTCAGAAGTGCTGGTTGACAGTTACCGCTAATCCAAGGCTTCACATTTTTTAGACAGATTAGTGTACTTATTACCTTAGTTGCCGAAGTTACCAATGACCCGAGACCTAACTAAAATAATGAGGGGCGACAGCAAAACGTTCAATGAGGTTCGATAAATCATACTGAATACATTGGATTTATTTGTTGAAAATCGTTTTTGATTCACTATTAATGGTTCGTTTTAATTCATCAAAATGCATTAGGTTGTCATAGTAAACCTTGTAATCTTTCAAAACAATCAAACTTAACATTAGCAACTTGGGAAGATAGAAAACGACTGTTGATTCAGAACTATCTGTCAATTGGCCAGTTGTATCAATATTTTTAGTTAAACATCTAGTTGGTAGTCGATTTAATCAAACGCATTCCATAGGGGAATTTACCACAACGGCTATTTCACCTAACTTGTCGTTTTTCACACTATATGAACAATGGATGAGGAAGTTGGATTTGAAAAGCTCAAACTTACCGGAGTGATAGGCTTTAATGGTTTGATTGTTTTCACTGCCATGACTATCAGTTGTTAAGGAAAAATTCAGAACGGTTTCCTGGTACATCCTGATGGACAACATGTTGTATTTTCTCTGGGAAGCAACGTCATTATTGAAAATATAAGTACAAGAGAG